GCAGAGTCGGTTGCCGTGGTAATACTGTTATTGGTGGCTGCGCTGGTAAATGAAGAGTCAGTAATTCTGGAGCTGGAAGAGTTGTCGGCTGTTCTTGGCGTACGGTGAAATCCACCGTTATTGATGTGCTTGTGACTGAATAGACTCCTATAGTAAGTGAATGCACGATTGCAACGAAGAGAGGTTGGAATAGAGTCCATATTGCTAGCGGTGGGAGGCGTTCGTAGCAGGAGTAGTAGTTGGCGGGGCGTCGGCAGTGTTTGCATCGGTGGTGTAAGTGGGAGAGATTGTTGTGATAGGGATGCTGGGATTGACGGTGGCGGGGAATAAGGAGTGCGATCGGTGGTAGTGGGAGTGGTTGTCATTTGATGCTGCCCTGAACTTTGTACTATCCTCCATATTATCCTTGACTGTGGTTTGTTAGAAATTAGTCTTTTGCTAGGTTTACCTCGTCCCAAGTGGCCGGTAATAGCTGCCTGACGTAGCGACTGCCACAAGCCGCTCGCACAAGCCATGAGCACTGTGAGTGACTCTTGTTCGTCGACGTCTGCGGGTCGTTAACTCGACAACTTTCGGTAGCATGGTGTGACTAGTAACTCCGATCGATATAATATCCTAATCACTTTGAGTAGCCGGGTCAAGGCTTCATGTATGCTCTAGGAACAGGGTTCGTCGGCGTCACATTCGTGATCTTATCTTTGCGACAGATTGTACTCCCAAGAGCGAATAGTACGATGCATCTCCTTGGAGAGTTCTTGACCACTACGCAATGGGAAATAGTTGTACGACTGGTGAAATGTTTTCAGTTTTTCTGGCACTTTGGAAATGTTTGATGTACTCATGGTGGTCACACTGAGAATCAGCTCCAGTACTTGGTTAGAGCAAGAAAGATGGTTGATGTGGTTTGGGCCCGTTCTCTGTCGTTAGTTATGCTCCCCTCAATCCCACGTAGAAAAAGAGGTCAATTGACTAGACCCAGTTCGTCAATACATAGAAGTTGCTCTTGAACCGTCACAAATGGTCGCGTGTGGAGGGGTACAATGTATGACAAGGAGGGCAGGATTGCAGTCTTACCGAGTACGAGTAAGTTAGAGCATACTGGATCAGCCTAGTGCTATGGTCCTCGCTTTATGCATAATGCCAACATAATTCTGATAACTGGAAGGCAAACTCTGAGTTTGCCCTTCCAAAAAAGGCCGAGAATTTCTTGAAGCCATACACTCCGATGATTCATGCATCAACTGACGTATCGAGTTAGCTGGAGAGTACAAACACCTCAAAGAAAGGTGGAAGAGACGCCAGCCGACAGCTATGGACCACGATGGACCGCAATTAGCGCTAATACCGGATGACCTGGACTGACCCCGGACCGCCTCAAATTACAGTTGCTAATTAGCCACTACGCCATTGCGACTGCTAATTATGTCCACCACGATGTGACACAAATTGCAACTACCAATTAGCGCCCACACTAGATAACTATATAAGTGTATCAGCACTTTAAAATGTTAACTGTTCTTTGCACACTTTTTCTCACGTCTAACGACGACCTGGAGATCCAGTGTCGAAAATTTACGAATAAGTTTACTCATTTCCCCAAACGACGCCTTTCCTTGAAAATAATTCGGATAAGTTTCGTGTGCATTTTGGGCAGTTTCTCCGGCTGCCCTTGGAAAAGACATATCTTGCAAACAAATATGATTCTGACGCTTTTTTCTTCGCTGTCTCCAACCATTTTGTCACGCCGACGCAAACAACAACTGCATCTTAAACTAGCCTAAACCGAAAAGTATTCTATAGTAGGTGTTTGTGCACGACAGACGTTGTTTTCCGAATAGTTCGTAAACGTAATTTTGTGCTTGTATGGTATTCAAAATATCTTGCATTAAAGGTTTTAAAGACCCAAGTACTGGTCGTCATTTTCACACCATTGTGTCATGTCTCTTTGGTTGCAAGTGGTTCCTCTGCCTCTAGACCACTGACAAAAAAGTCGATGGAAAATAAAATGCCGCATATACTTCGTACACAATACATTATGTCTGGAGGTACAGTCTGTGACCAATCACAGGAAATGTTGGCTCACGGGAAGGGTCTCTGCTACTTACTTTCCCAATTTCCAAATTATAATGAGCCTGATCTGTCACCGCATGTGCGTTGAGGATTTTTATTTCATGAGCCGTGTGTTTTTCGTTACACCAACTTTTGCAACATTGGCTAGCCAGGCTGTATACTTCGTGAAAAACATTAATGAACGGAAAAAGACAGTGCTATTTGGTTAAACGTCTTACGGTCTTCAAAATTATCATAATCAGAATGTTCTACAATTGAAAAATGCATACTACTTAATCAATTATTTTATAAAGTCTGGTCCGAAAAAGGGTTCCTTCAAAAGCCAACCCCAGCGTGTCTGAAATATAACGGGACTATGCTGCATGGTGATCAATAGTACAACCCCACTACAGTAATCCTTTCTGGTCGAAAAGTCATTTCTGAATTTTTTTAAACTTCATGAGTCCTGTCAATGTGTGCTCCTGTAAGTAGTTTCAGTCGACGACGAAGATTAGCTTTTATTAAGGATACTGGGCCCAACACAGTTTAGTCTTGTTCCAGTAGTCGCATCCTCTTCTTCTGAGTTAACTTACAGCCGATTTCGACTGATAAGCCACGTCTCAGACGTGGGTATACATAGTCACTGCCACCCCCAGGTCTGAAACGCATCCCATCGGCCGACAGGTAAGTATGCCTGTGGCCCCATCTCTCCAGACTGTTGTTCAACTTGGTTTCCCCATCCGCGTTGGTTATTTAAAAAACTGATAGAGCGTTCTATTTGAACCTGAAAAAAAATTATCGATCCACCAGTTCCCGATGTTAGGCCGGGTTGCCTACTCGAGAACTGTTGCTGGTAGCCTATAACGAGCTGAACTTTTCTTTACTGTTGCGGGCTGTGGAGAGAATAACCCACTTCAGGTAATAACCGAGGCAGATGCAAGTCTTACGTAACTGCTTCGCCACGTGTGCTAATATCTGAATTATTCCGATCGATGGGATGGTCTACTTGTCCGTTTGTTCAGGGATTATCGAGCCAGCTCTCTGGCGGGCGTTTCATGCGACGCCTCTTCCCAATTACTGTCTAGTATACTGTTTCTTTTTTGCATCTCTAATGTGCTGATTATTATACACTTCTCTTTTTCTCAAAGGTTTTTGGTAAGTACAACCTGCACAAGATCGATCCGGCAGTCGGAGACAAGTTTGACCCCAACCTTCACGAGGCCGTCTTTACCGTCCCTCTCGGAGCAAATAACCAACCAAACACCATCGCCAATGTGACCAAAGTGGGCTATCGCCTGCAAGAGCGAACCCTGCGGCCGGCCTTTGTGGGTGTATTTGTGGCCTCCTAGTACCACTCTTGTCCCCGAATTAGTGCGCCTCTTCCTGTAGTGTTCCCTCCCTTCTGCTATGCCGCTCCTGACTTCATGCACATACCCATCTGCCCGGCTTCTGGACCTCAAAATAGCCTGTAAAAAGTCACCACCTCTATGCTCTTTTAGCTATCTTATCTCATTCTTCAAGCCTGCCCAATGTACATTTTTGTAGGTGCATGTAGTGGATGTTTGTGGCAATTGTGCGGCTTGATTTCCACTACTCCTGCCAACTCTTCGACTGTCCCTGCTACCTTCTCATCCTAACATTCCTACCTGTGAATAGTGTAATAAAGGTCTCGAGGTGTTGTTTGCCTTTGCATATATTGTTTCACCGTTAATATGTCTCCCGTATTGAGATAAGGTCAACTCCAGGCCCGTAATTTGCATTTATTTCAGTAACATTTCCAACCGACTTTTTGATACTTGAAAGAAACAGTTGCACGTTTGAATGTAGCCGACACACTGTACAAAAAGTTCCATCTTCGCTGTGTCGCCGTCGTAGAGTTCACGGTCGTTTCCTAAACCTAGTAGAAAACGAGGCTGGTACTGCACCAATAGACTCCGGTCTCAAAAATAAC